ATGTGAAGCAATAGCAACTAAGAATTTCCCCAACATAAAGTCAAACACTAAACAATACATTAAGGATGCTTAGAGAACACCATAGAGGATAAATGTTAGAAACAAAAATAAATAAATAAACAAAAATACAACCATACCTAAGCATATCATATTCAAAATGCAGAAAATAAAAAATAAAATAATATCTTGTGTCCTTTAATCATTTTAATCTACTCTCTCCTTGAAATTATTGGGTCGTCAGGAAAGTCACGATGTATCTTTGCATAGAAAATCTGTCAAGACCTTCCCTATGAGCTAATATTTCCTCTGTAGCTTTCCTGACATCTGATTATTTTTCTTCTTTTCTCCCTGTCCAAACCTCACTTATCCCCTATTTCAGTAATTCAATAGCACCATCATTTCCTCAGAGAATATGGATATTTGAAAAATTCCAGAAAATAGATACCTGAAAAATTTTAGCAATATTTAAACAGTATAATTTGGTAATGGAGTCAATATGGGAGGTGAGAGAGATGGAGATTTCTAGCATGAACAATTAAGTCGATGGTTGTGTCAGTGAGACAAGAACTACTGGAGGAGTTTCAGATTTTTGGAGGGAATATTATGCTTTGCTTCTGGACATTTGGAACTTAAACATATTTAAGACACCTGTATTTCTCTGTAATCATGCTTTCTCTGACCCAGTTAGTCTCCTTGGCCTCCATCCTCATATATTCCAACACTCTACATTTGGGGCCTACAGCTTATCTCTGTCCCTGGGGCACGTGTCCTGCAGTTATCCATCTGCCCATGTGATTCCTTCAGGTTTGATCACCCACCACACACCACCCCCACATATGAACACTCTCTCAAGTTACTAGAATCCCGCTCCTATGTAAAGACCAAGGTTAAAGGGTATATCTACTAAGAACTATACCCAGTTTCACATAATCAAATTAATTATTTCCTCCTTGCTACTTCTGTAACACTTTATGTACTACATTATTTTTAATACTTGCCATATGCCTTGTGTTGTTTTAAATATTTCCGTTTAACTCTCCCTTTAGATTGAAGCTCATTGAATCTAGGGTTTGGATCTTATTCTATCTATAGTAATCTTGCAATGCTTAGAGTAAAATGGGAATTCAATTGGACTGTGCACTTATATTTGTATTAAAAGAACGCTGATATGAGAAGATTCTTAAGAAAATACCCTTCTCAAATCTATAAGTATTATTTGTTTAATAATTTAGGGTGCTTTTTTTTTTTTTGAGAGGTTTTTGCCATAGGGCGCGTGCACTGGCCAGAAAGACAGAGAGACAAAGAGACAGAAAGCGAGAAATTCACCGCCCCCCCCAACCCCGGGGGGATGGCCACGCCGCAATCCCTTCTCCTCCATTCTCCTCTCGGAATCTTGGGCACACATGCACACATGCCCGGCGTGAATTTAAGCCACTAGGTCCAGGACTCAAACTGCGGTCAACTGCATGGGAGTCCAGCGACATAGCCATTATGCCAACTGCTGGTCTCAATAATGTAGATTTTTAAAAAACTATCAAAATATATTTTCCTTACAAGTCTACTATATGGTAATTGAGATGTACTTAAATCTGACAAATCAGTGAATACATATTTTATTTGATAATGGAAACATGAAAAGTTGAACAAAATAATAAGTAGTCATGATTGATTAGATTACACTGAAGTGTAAGAATCATAGAAACATTTAGATGGTCCTGTCAAAATCTAGGTGTACTTACTCATTTTAAGAAATACCCAATATTATACTAAGAAAATTATTTAAAGCTTTTTTTTTTTTTTTTTTTTTTTCCCAAAAAC